TATGACCCCTGAAAGAGTTACTGAAAAGTTAATTTCCCAATAAAAGAATAGATGCCATATAGATTCCTTTGAGATCAAAACTTGTATGTTTGAACAATTCATTCGTTAGTCTTAGAAAGATATTTGTATCACAAGTGTCAGTCTCTATCCTTTGATTTTCACTAAACATATTAAGTAAATTAAAGCCATGTCAAGAACGCCAACTAATTGATCCATCGCCACCCACATGTACAAGTTTATTAGATATCACCAATGGCCCCACACAATAGATTGCATTCAAAGGTGACTATATATTAACAATGGCAAGCAAACCCATCATCTCTTTCAATTTTAATCAACCGAAAATGCGATAAGCTTAGGATAGAGTGTGAGAATTTTTTAGTAAAATCTTCGAAAGTCTTCTCACATTTAAAAATGACAAGTGGATGCATATACATGTGCATGTGATTCAACTATCAACATGTAGGAAGAACATGACAGTGAAGAGACCTGGCACAATGTTTCTCTAAGCATCATCCTAAAAAGACCTCTACAAATAAGTAGTGAGCGATGCCTGCTCACTCCATTCTTTAACAGCCATATCAACTACTCTCAACTCAATCACCAAATAAAGATTGATTAATTAAAATAAATGTTTCAAAGAGTAATGCTGAGTGAATCATAATGGTTATGGGGGCAGGAAGGATGAGGAAATCTTACGTGGCTGTTGTTGATCTCCTTCTCAAGGAACTCATTGATATTCTAGACAAGAGCATTTGAACCTTCAAAATATGATTTTGATGGAAGTGGCAGATCTGGACCTTTGAAATCCATATATGCAATGGCGATGAACTTCTCCTATGAGGCGTTGACAGCAGCGGGCTTCTTCGACGAGGTCTACGGCTCCAATAATGATGGGTCGCTGATTGTAGACGGAGGACATCATTGACAGAGAAGGAGGAGGGAGGCAGGGAGGGAGGGAGAAAGGAGAAAGTTGAGTGAGAGAGCTGAAGCTACATGACCATTTTGGTAAATTGAACATATTGTTTAATGAAAATATTAGACTTGGTTCTTAAATTTGGCTTAATCACTGGAACAATTTGGTTTTCAACTTTGTCTTTATTACTAAGTTTCCCTAATTATTTTTATACTTAAAATATCATGTTAACATATATTTACATCACCAATAGACCAATACAGATTTAGCGAAGACTTTTCTAAGGTTACGAGCCACCTAGACGCTCTACCGCATAATATAATAATGAAGTGAACAATCTATCTCAATCAACGCAAAACAATTTTTTTTTAATTTATTGATACGGATGCTATAAAAAATTGAACTAACTAATGTATTTGGCGGTAGAATCTCCAATCTATCTGTCTTTTAATAATATTATATAAGAATACAATGCTTTGTTTATTTTTTCTATTTTGTATTAATTATACAGATCTTTTTTATTTTAAAAATATACAATTTAGTTCAATCCATTAACTTTGTTAAAAATATTCTAAAAATATTTTAAAAACTTATTTTTAAATTTAAATTTATATTAAAATAAAATTTATTAATAATTTATTCCTCGCCTTGATAAATCCCTAAATTATATTATTGTGAGGGTTACACGAATTTCATTGTGAAGAAGACTATTCAATTTTCAAGTGTTTTCTTTTTCTTTCTTTCATTTTTGTTTAGAAAGTAGTTATTTGCTTAATGTTTATAGCAAATTGGAATAAAAGGTTAAGTAATTTCCAGCTGAAGTAGACGTCAAAATCTTCATTGAAGATTTGATTATTTTTTAAATAAAATTAAATGTGTTTATAAATGTTTGTTGAAAAAATTATGTTTACAAATTTTAAATTATAAATTTAAATAGTTTATATAATCTATTGAACTTACATCGTTTTATGCTATGTGATGAAAAATATGTATTTGAAATATATTTTTAACAATTTATAAAACAAAAAATAAACCAGTATCAATAATTTTGATTAAAAAGTATAATTTATAATTTTATAATATAATAAAAATTAATAAATTTTATAATATAATAAAAGTTTGAAAATGTATTTATTGTATTTTTTATATACAAAAATATTTTTTAGGAAATGTAGATGGTTAGATAATTCTTACATTAAAGAGGGTCATTTAAGTTAAATTAGAAATTCAAAAGTCAAACTTAATGATCAATTAATGGTTGGAAGAATGGAAAAAAATCTCATATATATAAGAAATGTTTATATAACTATATTTTAGTTTAATGAGAGATTTACATAAATTTTTAAAATGGAAAAATATTTATATAATTAAAATAAAATCAAAGGATGGTGAGTGCGATTTCCTCTAATATTAATTCACGGGACCCAATTCATAGTCAAAAGAAACCCTATTCACGAGAGCGTTAGGCTTGCCGTTTGTGACTCAAAAAATTAAAAAAATAAGTATTCACCACTCATCAGTCACCGCACGAAAATGTCACGGGGCGGCGACGTCGTTTATTCAAAAAAATTAGCTTCACAATCCTTGATATTTGAACAATGATATAATTATTTTGCCCAAATTAACTTGTTAAAATTTTGATTTTCTAAAAATTTACATCTTTTCAATTGTACTCTTAAATAAAATAAATATAATATTTGACTTATTTAAAATTAGAAATTCAAAGTCAAACTTAATGATCAATTAATGGTTGGAAGAATGGAAATAAAATCTCATATATATAAGAAATGTTTATATAAATGAGAGATATTTTACATAAATTTTAAAATAAAATTTTTAAAAAATAAAATATTTAAATAAAAGGATAAAAGGATGAGTGCGATTCCTCTAATATTAATTCACGGGACCCAATTCACGAGAGCGTTAGGCTTGCCGAACCCTATTCAAAAAATTAAAAACTCAAAAAATTAAAAAAATCATCAGTCACCGCACGAAAATGTCACGGGGCGGCGACGTCGTTTATTCAAAAAAATTAGCTTCACAATCCTTGATATTTGAACAATGATATTTATTTTGCCCAAATTAACTTGTTAAAATTTTGATTTTCTAAAAAATTTTACATCTTTTCAATTGTACTCTTAAATAAAATAAATATAATATTTGACTTATTTAAAACAATCTCATTACTTAGTAGAGTAGAATATAATAAAATAAGAGTATACTTGAAAAAATATATAAAACCTACCCAATTTATTAAATTTTAAATGTTTTTAGAAAATGCTTATATTTTACTCCTTCTAGTCTAAAATATAACCATTTTCTCCAAACAAATATTGATTCCAAATATAAGTAACTTACTATGTATAGAAATTTATTTCATTTTATTCCTTATATTTATTAATCTAACTTCTTGCATTTTTATTGCTTGAAGGTTTATTAACATAGGATTTTCTATATGTAATTTATAACATTCTTGTTACTTATTATAAATTAAAACTGAGGATAAAAAGAGAAAACAGTACGTTGTCCATCCTTTTATTTTACTTAATTATATAGACATTTCCTTTATGTTGAAAACTCAAATAAACCTTTATTAAAATTAAAATATACGTTACTTAAACCCTTTTTTATATATTTAAAATTTTATTTTCATCAATTCAATTGTTAGTTGACCATTAAATTTGACTTTTAAACTTTTAACTTGACCAACATGCCCCTCTTTAACATAAAATTATCTAAAGTCTATAATTACCAAAACATTTATATTTGTATACAACTAAAAAAATATAATTAATACATTTTCAAATTTTTATTATATTATAAAATCTATTAATTTTTATCATATTATAAAATATTATGATTTTGATTTTTATCAAAGTTTTTAAACTTATATATTTATATTTTTTTAATTTTATAAAACACATACTAAATACATTTTTCATCACAGAATATAAAATGATATAAGTTCAAGAAATTTTATAAATAATTTAAATTTAAAATTTAAAATTTGTAAACATATTTTTTACAGTGAAATGATGTAACTATCAGATTAATATAATTTGGATTTATTATGGTGTGGGGTAAATTAGTAAATAAAATTTGTTTTAATATAAATTTTAATTTAAAAACATGTTTTTAGAATCCAGTTAGAATATTTCTAATGAAGTTAACAAATTAGACTAAATTGTATGTTTTTAAAATGAAAGTCTGTATAATTAAGGCAAAATAAAAATATGGTTAGAACATTTTACCCATTACTTTTTTATAAAAGAATATTGCAATTTTGTTTTGAGGACATATCATCTAAAGACTCTTAGAGAGTTTTTTTTTTAAAAAAAATCAAGAAGAATCTTAAAAATATGAAATTTCATTGCATCCACATGTACATATCTTAAAATAAAATTTTATGAGCATATATTTGGATTTTGATAAGTAATCATACATAATTAATAATAACCCTTTTAGAAATGAACTAATTGTAAAAACTAATAGCACATGCTTAATTGTAAACAAACATTTATTTGGGTGCATAGGTATATTTACTTGTCTTGTATGAGTAAGGATCTATTCAAGTTTTAACTTGTAACCATATGTAAGAATAATTTATTTATAATTAATAAGTAACTATAACTGATAGAACATGTTTAATTATATGAGTGTTAATGTTGTATAAACAAAACATTTATTGGGGTTTTAACAATTAAATCATACATAATTGACAACCTATTAAATTATTGAACTTTAGGGGTCTCTAATTATAAAATCTTATTTTTAGAGATGTGTCAAGGAAGTGTAGTGGAATTTCAGATTTTCAATGCCTTTCTTTGATATAACAACTTTTCAGGGGTCTTGGGCGATATTTTCCCTTTTGTTTTTGTAGCTTGAGGAATTACACCAACTTGAAGTCCACGTTTCTTAAGTGTACTGTTCAGTTATTCGTCCGTCATTACTCATCAAGTCATCAGTCTCGTACGCATGGCCCCATGTCTGAACACGAAGCGTCGTGTTAGAGCCGTTGATAATGGCAGTAGAGATACAATTATATTTGAACCCTTCAAATCTATCGATTTCTCTCCTAACACGTAAAGCACAGAGAATCCGAAATTGCTTTCTCTTCTATCTAATCTTCTCGACATTCAGAATCCGATTCCTTGAGGAAATTACCAGAATACCACCGGAAAGTACCAGTATTATTCTCGAGAAATCACAGACCTCACAGTTCCGGAAGCAGTCTCCTTCGTTCTCTACGAAGCAATATAGATTCGTCACTCAGAAATGTCACCGGACGGCGACGTCGTTCCGTCGACTCCGGGGGCATTCAGGCTCCGGTGGGACGTCTTCTTGAGCTTCAGAGGTGCGGATACTCGTGGTTGCCTCACCAAACCACTCTTCAGCTCGCTCCAATCTCACGGAGTTCGGGTTTTCTACGATGACGATGGATTGGATCGCGGTGACCAGATAGCCCCGAGCCTGCTCGAAGCCATTGATGATTCAGCGGCTTCGATCATCATCATCTCTCCTAACTATGCTTCTTCTCATTGGTGTTTGGAGGAGCTCGCCGAGATTTGCAAGTGCCGGAGACTGATTCTGCCGGTGTTCTTCAACGTAGACCCGAGAGATGTCCGGAAACAAGGAGGTCCATTCGAAGATTCTTTCAAAATTCACGAAAAAAAGAGGCGTGAAGACGAGGTAATCAGGTGGAGGAAAGCTATGAACAAAGTAGGTGGAATTGCTGGCTACCCTTTTCGAAATCCCAGGTCTTCTCTCTCTATTCTCCTAACACTCTTTTAATTTTTCCACCGTTACGTCCTTACTGAGTAATTTGTTTAATTTGCTGTTATAGTGAAACGGAAAATGACTTGACAAGGCAAAAAGAAAAGGAAGATGACCTTATTCGACTTTTAGTGAAAAGGATTATGAGAGAACTGCGTAATACGCCGGTGGGTGTGGCTGAATTTACCGTTGGACTCGATGCTCGTATTGAAGAACTATTGGAATTGTTAGAGGTGAGATCCAACGGCATAAGAGTGTTGGGATTGTATGGGATGGGTGGGGTTGGTAAGACAACCCTTACGAAGGCACTTTTTAACAGACTCGTTGTGCATTTTGAGCATCGCAGCTTCATTTCAAGTGTCAGAGAATTAGCTTCATCCATAGATGGAGGTTTAATTGCTCTGAGAAAAAGAATCATCACTGACATTTCCTCTCAAGCAGTTGACGATGATGATGTTTCTGCTTTCAGAAGAACAGTTAGTGAAAATCGTGGCCTGATAATCCTGGATGATGTGGATGATGTGAAGCAGCTGGATACTCTAATAGTTAAAAGAGAATGGTTCCATGAGGGAAGCCGTATATTAGTCACCTCAAGGGATAAAAGAGCTTTGCCTGAGACTCATGTTAATGTCTTGTACGAGGTTAAGACATTGGATGACCCCAAGTCACTAGAACTATTCTGTTACCATGCAATGAGAAGAAATGAACCTGCAGACAAAAAATTTCTGAAATTGTCCAAGGAAATAGTGTCTCTAACGGGAGGGTTGCCTTTGGCTCTGGAAGTGTTTGGTTCAATGTTGTTTGGTAAGAGAAGGGAAGAGGAATGGGTTGATATTGTGGAGAAACTGAAGCTGATTCGACCTGGGAATCTGCAGGAAGTGTTGAAGATCAGTTATGAGGGGTTAGATGAGCAAGAGAAATGCATCTTCCTTGACATTGCTTGTTTGTTCGTTCAGAAGAGGATGAAGCGAGAAGATGTGATTGATATATTGAGGGGTTGTGGATTTGGAGGAGAGATAGAAATCACAGTTCTCACAGAAAAATGTCTGATCAAAATCCGAGAGGACGAAACCATTTGGATGCATGATCAAATTAGAGACATGGGAAGGCAAATTGTCGTGGATGAGAACCTTTTTAATCCCGGCATGCGTAGTAGATTGTGGGATCGATCTCAAGTTTTTGATGTTTTAAGGAATGTCGAGGTAATTAATAAGGATCCTTAAAGATGTCTATAGTTTGAAGCTAATTTCCTTTTTATTTGATTTGAAGTGCTTAATTCGTCACTCCTTAAATTTTTATTTCCTTTTTATTCAATTTTCCATGAATTATTTTGCTTTCTTAAGATGTTAATTTAATTCTAACTAAATTTATTAAAAGCAGGCTACCTAATTATGATTTAGACTAAATTGAATAATTGATGGATATATAACATATATAATAACATTGTTCTAGCTATAATATATGATTAATGAGTTTTACATGTTTTTTCAAGAGTTTACATTTGTTTATGTAATGATTTATGTAGTTGGTCTAATTTACTCTTTCTGGTCCTTACTGCAAGGAACGTTCTTGATATAGTCATAATGAATATATATATATATATATATATAAAAGGTGTGTTGTAATGCTTTATAATGGTTGGATATTTTTTTATTTCCAAAGCATTTTGGTGAGCCTCTCATAAATTATATATGATAGCAAGGGTGGGAAGATGTATGTTTACAGGGAGAGTTACTTGTGTCAATTTTTGTGCTTTCAAATCTTTTTGGACCTAATTTTACAAGGTAGCATGCTGTGCATATATCATACCAAATGGAAATAGATGACACTAAAACATTGTAGGGTAAATGTGCAAAGTACCCTTTGAATTTTAGGTCTAGTAGCATAATAGACCTTGAACTTGTTTATTATATAAATTATTCTCTCAACTTTTAAAAACACTGCAATTTGGTCCTGCCGTTAACAAAATATAACTTTGTTAGTTCACTCGAAAATGATACGAAAGGATCACAAAAATTACAAAAAGACAAAAATATATATATAAAGGATAAAAGGACACAAAAATTATAAAAAAAGGATCCAAAATTATTTTTGGTCTTTTCCTTGTAATTTTTGAGATTTTTTTTTATCAACTAACATTCAAAATTAACTTTTATTAACCTCAGGGGCTGAATTTTACCATTTTCAAAAGTTAAGGGAACAATTTGCACAATAAATAAGTTTAGTGTTTATGATGCTATTAGATCTAAAGTTTAGAAGATAATTTGCTTATTTTTCTAATATTGTATAATGTATCAACAAAGATTAGTTTGGTTAATGAGGATTTGACTTGTAACTCATAAGGTCATGAGTTTAAATCCTGCTATTGAGGTGGGAATTTATAATTACCTTAGCTTTTTGAGTATGGAGATATGTCCTAATCTTAGTGAAACATCGAAACCAAACTCACATAAACTTTTACTTTATTAAAAAAATATATTACATAATATATAACACGTACCAATTTCTTATACAGTATGATTATGTTTGCTTTGGAAATCATAGGGAACTCGGAGCATTCGAGGGATGGTCCTAGACTTGGAGGAAGGATCTGGTAAAGATCACAAGGATGAAGAAATTTCTGGGAAAAACGTTAGGCGTGGTTCCCGCTGTTTCGCAAATATTTTGAAGAAATATTTTCAACGAGCTGAGAAACACAAAGAGGTTCTTGGGCTTCACACCAAGTCCTTCGAATCAATGGTGAAATTAGTGTTGCTTCAGATCAATAATGTCAGATTGGAAGGCAAGTTCAAATCTTTCCCTGCAGAATTGAAGTTGCTACAATGGCAAGGATGTTCTTTAAAATGCATGCCTTCTGATTTTTGGCCCCAAAAATTGGCTGTGCTTGATCTCTCACGCAGCAAAATTGAAAACTTGTGGAATCGGAAAGGCTACAAGATAAAGGTATGTATTATTCTTCATGCTTCAATTCAGTTCCCATATTCATTATCTCGTTAATTATTAGTTATTAATGCAATAATCAGTAAAGCATGGGAGACCATGTTATTAGAGCTGGTAATTTGGTATAAACTCGACAAACCTACTCAAATATGACCCTGAACCTAAATAGCTAAGCTTGAATAGCCTGTATTTTTTTATTTTTAATAAAATATAATTAAAATTACACAAAAATTGAAAATCTTAAGTTTTTAAAATAAAAAATGAAATTGACTATAAAAATAAAAAATAAAATAAAATAATATTTAACAATTTAAGTATTTAAACTAATTTGAATAAGTCCAAAAGCTATAGGTGATAAGGCGAGCTTAACTATATAAGGTTTTTTATGTTTTGATATTTTAAATTTATTTGAATAAACTCGGTTCAAATTAAGCCTGTCAATCCAAATTACGAAGCTTTGCCTCTGTGTTATTAACTTAGTATGGAAATCTTATAGTTATTGGTCACATTGGTAAAATATTGAAACTCGAAAGAATTGTCAAATTAGCTAGGTCACCTGCAGGGAAGACTAATTCCAATGAGGTCAAGGTGGGGTGCCTTAGTTTTGTTACAATGTTATGTAGCCATTCCACCAATTATGTCACTTAATACAATAACAATGTAAATTAAAATTGTACACATTACATACGCTCCAAAACCATTTTAGAACCAACAATATATATGGATTGGAGATTGATTTTTTCACGGACGTACGTGCATGTATATACATATAATATTTTGTATAATTATTTTAAATGGAATTAGTGACTTCATTATATGGCTTTAGGAAATTTTGGAAATCGAGAATCCAAATTCAAATCCCCCATTCTCTATGACTTTATCATCCTTTCACTTATTAAGGGTTGACCGGAATATCGATCAAGGGTTAGAGATTATTTTTCTTTTCTTTTTTCCCCATTGAGAAAGGCAATGTCCCTCAAATAATTTTTTTCGAGGGGCAATTTTGTCTTTTCAATATCAACCTTATGTGGGTCCCATTAACAATGACAGCACCTGAGGCTCACCCATTTGCCATCTGACCTGGATTCTCCCTTTCAACCGAGACGACGTCTTCCAGTACCCTGTAGTCATACTCGTGTCAATAGTCAAGCATTTCTGGTTTAACAACGGATTTGTGCTTCTCTGAGTTCTTCATTTGACACGTGCATTCTATAGTCACTTGTTTAGAAAGCGATGTTAATCCAAAAGGACTGAAGCTATGGCCTCCTCTGCCTTTGGACTGCGCCTTGGAGAGACACTGTGAGCTTCATGGCTGTGGCTCCCAAGGGGCTTCGATTCTAGTCGTCGGGTTCAGTGGCTGTGGCTCCCAAAATACAGAGTCCAATAACCCAAGTTCTTGATGTTTTATATGGCAAATTAATTCATTCCCACTCTTTCAAGCTCGGATTTGAGTCCTATCTTTATGTTTCTAATGCCTTGCTTCATGTGCACGCTTCTTGTGGCGATTGGGGTCTTGCGCAGAAGTTGTTTGATGAAATGGATGGAAGAGATTTGGTTTCTTGAATTCTTTGATATGTGGGTATAGCCAATGCAATAAATTTAGAGAGGTTTTGGGTCTTTTTGAGGCAATGCAGGCAGTAAATGTGAAGGCTGACGCAGTCACAATAATGAGGCTGTTTTGGCAAGCTCTGTATTCTAATTAAACCCGAAATGCTTTGATCTAAACGTGCATGATCTGAGAGATCTTGTGAGTCACGAAACCAGACTTGCCGACGTCGGAGAAGATGAATGGAGGAGGAGACGAGATTGAGAGAGAGATGGATTGGTGAGGGAGAGACGATGATCACGATGAAAGGGAAGAGAGAGCGGTCGCGAATGAGCGTCCGAGATGAGGGAGAACGTAGGCGTCGTTTCAATTGGAGAAGCCAGGTCAGATGGTTAAATGGGTCAGACTCACATGTTGTCATTGTTCAGGGGCCCATTCATAATACACATAAGCAGATTACAATGAAATTGACTGGTTCTTAAGGAAAAACAATAACATAGCTCTTCAAAAAATTATTTAGGAAATATTATCTTACTTTTTAGCACAGGTGCTCAGCGCTTTTTTAAAAAAAGTTCAGAGAAAAAATGATCTTTAGCCTAACATCAAAGGTCTGTTGCCCGCAATTAGCTGAGGCGTTTCTTAAAACTTGAATAAATTTATTTTTCTTCTATTTTTTGGGATATGCTGTGTTTGAGCTTTATCAAAACTTAAGAGAGGTAATATTTTACTATCAGTCAACTTTACTCTTTGTGCTAATACTAAAAAAGGTTACTCCCTCCATTTTTATTTGTTAGAAAAGCTGCCACTTTTATTTTATTTTTTTAAGCAAAATTGCAATTTCTTTATTTTCATACAGCTATTACTGTTAACCGATTTTTTAAAAGTGCATGATATAGTTTTTTTTCCTCTTATTATAGTTAACTGATTTTCTTTTAATATATTACTTTTATTCTTTTAGTATATTAATATAATGCATGAAACGGATTAAATCTGGCACGCAAATTCGTATGCCACAACTAAAATGCGAATATCATTCTATAATATCATAACAACATATGTTATGTTGGGTTGCAGATGCCAGAGAACATAATGGTCATGAACTTGTCCCACTGCTACCACCTAGAATCTCTTCCTGATCTCTCTGGGTGTCGACGTTTAGAGAAGATTGTTCTTGAGAACTGCTTTAACCTAAGAAGGATTCATGAATCAGTTGGCAATTTGACGACACTTCGTCATTTGAATCTGACTCTTTGTAGGCAACTTACTGAGTTACCCGAGGATATATCTGGGCTGAAACATCTAGAGAGCCTCTGTCTCTCTGACTGCTTCGAGTTGAAATCGTTACCAGGAAACATGAGCAACTTGAAATCACTGAGAAAGCTTATTGCTGATCGCACGGCTCTGGTAGAGCTTCCCGGGACTATTTTTCACCTTGAGAAACTTGAAATTCTTATTTTAAATGGTTGCCAAAACATCAAAAGGCTACCCGACAACATCGGACTCTTGTGTTCTCTGCAAGAGCTGTTTCTCAACCAATCTGGATTAGAAGAACTACCAAGTTCTGTCGGGCGTTTGCAAAACCTTGAGAATCTTGGTTTGATGCATTGTAAATCTCTCACTAGGATTCCTGATTCGATTGGAAATCTTGTATCACTTTCAAAGCTTTGGCTTTCTGGTAGTGCTATAGGGGAGCTTCCTTCTTCGGTTGGATCATTGTCTTATCTAAAAGAACTATTAGTGGGAAACTGTAAGTTTCTGAATAAATTGCCCGAGTCCATTAAGTCTTTGGTTTCCATTGTTGAGCTTCAGCTAGATGGGGCAGCGATCACAGATTTGCCAGATGAGATCGGAAACATGACATTACTCAAAAGGCTTGAAATGAGGAATTGCCAGATGAGATATCTACCTAAATCGATTGGCAACCTCACAGCTCTTACAACCTGGAACATTCCCAATGGTAACATTGTTGAACTACCAGAGTCCATCGGAAAGCTTGAAAATCTAGTCCATTTAAGGTTGGACCGATGCAGCATGCTCAGAAGGCTTCCTAATTCTATAGGACATTTGAAGTCCTTGTACCATCTTCGGATGGAGGAAACGGGTCTGACAGAATTACCTGAAAGCTTTGGTAAGCTTACGAGCTTAAGGACTTTGAAAATGGCCAAGAAGTCTGAAGATAACTTGCTTCACGATTCTACTGAAATGTCCTCTTTTTTCTGCAATATGGTATTTTTGACTGATCTGGATGCTCGTGGTTGGAGAATATCTGGGAAAATTCATGATGATTTTGAGAAATTATCGTGTTTGGAGAATTTGAATCTAAGCCAAAACAAATTTCACAGCCTTCCTTCAAGTTTGGCGGGTCTTTCCGTTCTCAAGGAACTCGCTCTTCAGAACTGCACCGAGCTGCTTTCTCTCCCTGCTCTTCCCTCAAGCTTGACAAAGCTGAATGCTGCAAACTGTAGTGCCTTGCAAACCATTCATGACCTTTCAAATTTAAAAAGTCTACAGGATCTGGACCTCACAAATTGTGTAGAATTGGTGGATATCCCTGGCGTTGAACAGTTAGGGTCTCTGAGAAGGCTGTACTTGGGCGGATGCATTGCATGCTCCTCCACAGTACGCAAGAGATTCTCCAAGGTTAATTCTTTCCCTCTTGTATGAATAATTTCATGTTTATTTTTTGGATAAATCGAATTGATGTGTAATTCGTCATTTTGTTCCTAGTCAACTCATGACCCCCTTGTCCATATATGACAGGTTACACTGAGGAATTTAAGGAACTTGAGCATGCCAGGAACAAGAATACCCAGGTGGTTTTCTGGACAATCTGTAAGCTTTTCGAAGCCCAAGAGCCGTGAACTAACTGGTGTAGTTATAGGAATCATTCTTTCAATCAACCGGGATATAAATAGTGAACTGCGAGATCAGCTTCCTGCAGTGGTTGATATCAAGGCAAATGTACTCAAACTTGGCGAAAATATATATAGTTCAGTATTGAACTTGCGTGGGTTGCCAAGAACAAATGAAGAAAACATGCACCTTTGCAGGTTCCCAGATTACCATCCACTTGTCTCTATTTTGCGACGCGGTGACACATTTTGTGTGACTCTGAGAAACCCGCCCGTGGATGAGGGGTTAGAGTTGAAAAAATGTGGGGTTCATTTGATCTTTGAAGGGGATGACGATTTTGGTGGAAATGAAGAATCCGTGGAAAGAAGTCTACGATCTGTTTCAGAAAAATTGGCCAAGTTTTTCAACACTTATGAAGAAGATAGCCCCGAAGATGGTGTTTGAGAGCAACGATGACGTGCATCACCTCTGATGAGCACCAAAGTTAAATGCTTGTTATACCGCCAAGGAAAAATAGTTGTCCTGCACTGTCAAGTATCAATACTTCTTAATGTACTTATAATTAAATAATGTTAATGTACTTCTTAATATCATACCCATGTGGCCTATGGGTATGATATTGAATAATGTTGGCAAGAGTAAAGATTCTTTCTTTATCATTATCATTAGAAACTGCTTGCCATAATTACTGATCAAGCCAACAGTCATCCTTAAAAGAAGAGTTAAGCTCTCATTGGTTAGCATGGAATAGAAACTGGGACCGAACCAGTCAGTTAGGTAATAACTATAATTCTTATATTAACAATTTTACTTTTGTAAGTTTTGTTACTAATAACTTCGGTTTGGATTTTAATAATCACTCCTTCTACTCCTTTAGTTATATTTATACAATAAAAAGATGAAAAAATTTGGTCTCATTTATAGGACATTGACTAAATTTTAATACTTCTCTCTAAATTCTTGCCTTTATTAAATTTTTTTAAATAAAAATATTAGTAATGAGATTTAATATTTATTAACGATAGATGTGAAAATTTATTAAATTTTAAGATAAAATTTATAAGATTTAAGATTTTTCTTAGTTTTAGTAAACATGCTAAAAGCGACTGATAAATAAGATCAGATGGAGTATTATTTTGTAAAAATAAAAAATGTAATTGTGTATAACAATTTATGTAAGATAAGTGATCATATGGACTTTAAAGTAATTATTATTTTGTGGTACTCTTTCATCATTTTTCTATTTTGATGAGATTTATTTGTCATTCTCCCTTAATTTAAGGTAAAAGAACAAATTAGCTCCTAAGCTATACATCAAAGAACATTTGGGACTAGAAACTTATTTTTTATGCAATATTTTCTTTCAATTTTTGAAAATGATGCAATCTGACTCTTGCTGTTAATAAAAGTTAATTTTGGTTATTAGTTGACTAAAAAATAATAGAAAAAATTAAAAAAAAGATCAATAAAATTTTTTTGGTCCTTTTCTATAATTTTTATATTTTTTTATAATTTTTTGGGTTATTTTCTATAATTTTTGCAATATTTTTGTCAATTAACGATTAAAATTAATTTTTGTTAACAGTAAAAGTCAAATTGCACCATTTAAAAAAGTTAAAGGAGAGTATTGCATCAAAAGTAAGTTTAGGATTCCAAGCACTTTCGAACCCATAATTTAGAGGATAATTCACCATTTAACCCAATATTTTATGCCTCTAATAAAAATGATGAGAAATGTTTACCAGTTTACAAGATTATGTAATGGTACTCAATTATGCCTCAATTGGTCTTGGAACAGATACTTCTCTACAAAATGGATACTTCTTTACCCTTATTAAATACAGATTTTTTTAATTATATAATTTCTCTCACCAACATTTAATGGAAGATAAAAAGGAAAAAATTATGATAAAAAAAAATGAATGACATGACTTACTCCAAGGAAATGAGCTTGGATATGATCATTTAATCAGCTTGGCTGGAGAAGTATTAAGGAAGATATCTACTTCAAATAAGTGTTGGAAAGGGGAAAAAAAAAAGAAAGAAATATACAAGATATATGCATGCATCCACCCTAAAATTGTAAATTATGACTGTATATATGCTTTTGGATGAAAAGGATGGAATATTGATATTTCCTTTATTTTACTATATGATATTTTTAATTTCATTTTTATCATCATGGATGATAATTTTTTTCTATGTTAAGTATATATTATTTGAATATATTAATTTAATCATGAGTTAATTATAGTCCAATTATTGAACTATGAATTGGTCTTGGCCGATTAAATGGCTGATTCAATCTTCTTAAACTTTCATTTACTTCTCATTGCAGATTTTTTAAGTTGGTAATTTTTTTAAAAAGAAATCTATGTGCTTGTTGGTCATCATCAGATTGACAGATTAAATAATGAATATTAAGTGATTTCTATTAAGAAAATTTTTTTTATCAAAATATATAAATGATAATTAAATCCCTTGAAATGCTATAATTTCTTTGAAGTTCTTAAACACCTTTCTGACATGAATAATTTTAGGTTAAATGATTAAATTGTCTCTTTTTTAAAATAAAAAAATGGGTTTATGTGATAAATTATAATTTATTATTTAATTCTTGTGATTTACAAAATAAAAGTTGTGGTTGCTTAAACAAAAGTTATAACTAGTTTTTTTTTTTAAATTTAAACTTCAATGATAAAAAAATTTTATGTGAAAAGTTGTGATTTTTGATTCAATTCTTATAATTCACAGAATAAAAGATATAATTATTTAAACAATATGATTGGTTATTTTCAGAACTTCAACTTTGATGATAAAATAAATTTCATGTGGGAAGTTATTATTTCTTATTTAATTTTTGTAATTTACAAAATCAAAGTTATGATTGCTTGAATAAAAATTATAATTTGGACAAATTATTTCAGAACTTGTTTATTAATTATAAAAGAAATTTTTTATGAAAAGTTATGATTTTTTATTCAATTTTTGTGATTTACAAAACTAAAGTTATGATTACTTAAACAAAAGTTATGATCAAGAAAATGGAACCAAGCCTATTATTTTTATTTCAAATAAGGAACAATTTAAGGGACTTTAGAGAAATTATAATATTTTGAGGGACCTGTTTATTGGGGATTTTATTGTTATTTTCCCATTCCTATCCTTGTCTTGATTTTTTTTTAAGTAATTATGTTTTCTCATATAGAGAATTCTTACATGGATTAAGTATACCATAACAACCATGCTTTGTTCAATAAAAGCATGTCATGTTAGATTATTATAAATATAAATTGATTTTACAATTAACATAATAAAGAAATAAATGACAAGACATTAAATAGACACCTTATTCCAAAAATAAATCAATTAAAAATAATGACACATTAGATTTTATTTGAATCAACTGATATAACATGAACATGATTTATTTTTATTGGACAGAATATAAATGATGTGATCCACCAAGTTTATTTAATAATTTCTCTTTTGGTATATTTGTTTGTTTATTTTTATTAAGGATCAAATACAAGTATGACCAATGATTTCTTTATTATTATTTAATCAATTTTTTCTCAATGGACAGACGCTTTTTTTCTTTTCTTTTCTTTTTCTTTTTCCGGCCAAATGGATACATGCTTATATGCTCAATTGATTAACAGTTCCTGTCAAAGGTGATCCAACTTAATTTTTTAAAAAAAAATTAGAAGATATGAAAAATGATTTTATCCATCAATGGAAAATAAAATATTTTCTATAATTGAAAACGCATTCATTTCAAAATTAATATTGGGATGAAGATTAATCATGTTAAAAAGGGGGTTAAAAGACATTTTAATTCCTAAACTATTGTACTGAGAATATTAAATGTCTTAAAATATTTATTTGAATAATGTCACTCTTCAAATAATAAAATTGTTGCAATATAACCTCTTGACTAACGGATATTGTCTATTGATTTCAAATTGACTTTAGATTAAAAAGTAATTTTACCCTCATAGTATGTTTTGATTAATGACATTTTGGATTTAAATTTGAATTAAATCTCATTTAAATACGCACAAATTTATGGATTCAATATTTCCTTTACAATTTCAAATTTTCTTTACATCTTAATTATTTAAAATTTTAATCACTTCAAACCTTTCTTTTTCTTTATGTTTTCATTATCAGTACCTCTATGACTAGATAGGAATATAAGTGGAGGCATGATATAAGATTACTCCATAAAATATATATATTTTTATTTGTAACACATGAAAATTAATTTCATCGCCCACTTGTAATCTTTCATTTTTTTGCCTCCCTTGTATCCCTTGTATGATTGCTAAATCCATCCCGGTTTACGACTTTCAAATCATCTTTTATCAATTGCCCCCGGGGGGGGGGGGGATCCAGCACTTTCAATTTTTCACTTTCATTTCAAATACCAATTTATCTCTTCCTTATCAATTTTTTTAAATATATAAATTTTAAATGCAATATTTTAAATCTAAAACTCATCCAAATTTACCAATCCGAAGATTACTTTTCTTGGAGGCGTAACTAACACTTTAAAGTTTAATAATGTGAAATGATTGAAATTCCTATCTTTCACCGAAACATGTCACATCATGTTTAGGATATTATATGACTTGCTTACTAAATTTATTGTCATTTAATACTCACGATGATGTAATAATCTACATCAGCACAAAATACAAAAAGTATGGAGTTACATACTCATTGCCTGCAAAAACAAAATGATTCCCCACAAATTTTATGCCTCATAAAATTTTCAAGTAGCATTGTTGAAGGAATTCACTCAGTCAAATCAAAGACAAATTTTATGCACCTCAAAATTTTGAAAACAGAGAATTTCAATACAAAACCTACTGAAAAATAAAGATACTCAAGACTAGCAAAAGAAAGTTTGAACCTGGGCTCATCTCAATTCTACCAAGACTCTGAATAACAAAATTTTTCCGTCAAAGCTGATTTACATAAACATCACAAGTATTTCACCTCCCTAGAAAGCAATACGGGCAAATTTACCAAAAGCAATACTTTTCTGCCATGAAGATATTGAGGCAAGTGGCCTTCTATGGAAAAAATAACACCACCACCAAATTCAATGGCTTCTTTCCCTTCAGAAACTGTTGGAAGTGTATGGTTTTAACATCCAAATGTGTCAACATCTGTGGAGTGGAGCAGGATATATGTCCAGTGACTGATATCGAAGTCTGTCATTATGAGGCAACGGACCCTCCTAAAATGATAGAAGAGTAAGTTACTAAAGTTACTTATGGTGTTCATTAAAAGAAAAGAGAGAACAAAATAGGGCTTAAAGAAAGGTGTCAAGCGAAAATAGCTAGAAATGGTCAATTTGGATTTGCTGCTGCAAAAAATTTCCGCATCTATCTCTCCGTGTTCCGAAACAAACGGGAACAGGTGTGATTTAAAAAAAAACAGAGAGACCAAGATTTAACCTCAAATGTCCATGAAATAACCAAATCGACCATTTCTAGCAATGAAAATCAAGAATGTTTCTGAACAAGCCAGGAAACTAAATAATGCTATTACATTATAGTGCAAATTATTATAATGATCCATATTTATGATTCCACCTTTTATTTTTTACACCTAAGTTTCATAATCTGTTATTACTTTAGATTTATGTTTG